CCCCGGCGCCGGCCCCCGGCCCAGACCCGACATACATCAGAGGCTTTTACGACCACCTTCTGCACAAATAAGGCAATAACGACACCGTTTCTGCTCAGCTTCCCGTTTATTTATAGATCGACTGGTGGCAGCGGTAGTTCTGTGCAATAGTTTTAGTGGTATTAGTAATATTTGGGCCTCCTGGGTGATACTGACAAAATCTTAATTCAGCAGTATGGCTGTGCGCTTTTCTTCCGGAATAAGTAATTATAAGAATATCGTTACAGCGAAATAGTAATGCCAACAAATTTCTCCGGGTAGGGAAGACTTTGGACCTGTCAAGCGCATCTAGCACTGACCTCCTTTGAGCGTAACTCTTGGCAGGTAAACAACAAACAAAATGCTGGCAATACTTTAAAAACAAATGGATTTGTAGAGATTATATTTTTCCAGAATATATTAATCTGTGAAGATTATATTAGTTCCTAATAAAACTAAGATTCAGGCTAGGCCTGGTCTCTCACCCCATATCAAAGATGCGGGACAAGGGCTGAGGAGAAATGGGTCCTTCGCCTTCGTTTTCCCTGCTTCCTGGGGGCTGTCGCTGTCTATACCGTTGCTAGATGTTCAGAGGAAATCACTAGGTGGGGAGATTTGAGACCTGTGGTTCACCTTTGCCTCCAGCATTTCAAAACTATTTAGGCTTCAGACGTCCATCAGAGCTGCTGCTTGCATCTGCCAGTGATCGACAGCAAAAGGCAATGCCCGTGCCACCATCTGGGCTCATGGTTTGGAGGGGAGAGAGGGAACTGCAGGAAACGAAGCTGAAGCTCACCTCTCTCTTCAGGTGAGGATGAGTAGCAAACAATCCTGTGATTCTGTGAAGGATGCTGGCCCTGTTTTCTTATTCAGGATCTATTGCAATTACTGTTAACTAAAAATGCTAGTATCTTCCTAAGCAAAAGCAGAGACAGCAGAGCAAAAGCCAATGACTGCCCTAAATACCTTCTTTTTAGACCACATGGAGGCAAAATTTGAATGCCTTTGAGTACCAGATCTGAAACACTGAAGGGAAGCACATCCGAAGCGATGGGCCCAATGTAAGAGTTAAGTTGCCCGGGCTGGGATAGTTACTGCCCATGCTTCAGGTCGGGAGAAAATCTGGTGGAAAAGGCAGAGCTCCGTGGGCAGGGATCTCCCGGAAGAGGACAGGCCTGGGATTTGAGGCGTTGCAGTAAGATGTCCTCTTGTAACCGTGGCTGTGCTAGCTCCGGAGGTTACTGCTCCCCTGTGCTCATCACTGCTCTGTTCGAGGCTGCTAAGGTTTAGTTGAGCTGTTCATGGGCTGGCAAACAACCTACTATTTAAAGTGATTAACTGATTATCTTCTTCCCTGAAATAAAGTAGGAAGCCAGGCTGGTAGATCTGAGTAGGCACGACAGGTAACAAGCGGCAGTTGGTGGCAGTAACCTCTTCAACAGTGCAAGTACAGCCAGAAGAAGACACAGAACTACACCTAAAGTGGTAAATAGCCTGCAGAATGCTTCTTGTGTGTTTTTGTGTCAGTTAGGACTATACCACAGCTGTGTAGCCAGCTTCAGGTGTGCCCTATCCATGCCGTGACAGTGCATTAAAAGGAGGAGTTACAGAAGCCTCAGTTCAGATGCTACGCAACCACCTTGTGTTAGTCGTTGGGAGAGAGGCAGATGGCCTTCAGCCTCAGCACGCAAGAGGCTGGCAGAGGGCAGAGATGGCCTTCCAAGTCTTTTCAGTCTTCCTGTATGACTTCAGCAAAGCATGTCCTTATGCCTCAATTTCTCAATCTGTAAAAGGGGAGCAGTTTTTAATCACCAAATAAGGCTGCTGTGAAGTTAATTTAATTACTGCAGGTAAAGAGGGTTACGTCCTTTGAAGGCAGGTGTTAAACAAAAGCAAAGATTTATTGCTAAAGGAACATGATAGGTCCATTTGAACTTTGTTTGGGAGACCGCAGTATTTATCGATTAGTAGCTTTTGGCAGGGGGAGAAATTGCGCAGATGACCTCAGGGAAGTAAACTACAGGAAGGTGTGTGTGAAGGCATTCATGCTCTTGCTAACATTATTGTAAATCTTGATCCTTTAATAAAGCTGTGACCTTGGAGTTGACAACCAGTACACCACGGAGGAATATATAGCATGGCGCCAGCCTTGTAAATCATATGTAGTTTTTGCCATTGACATAGACAACACGTAAAGAGAAATCAGGCAGCTGAAGTTTATGAAACACATTTATTTGAAGGAAAGCATTTTAAATCAGACTTTTTCGATGAAATGAAACCAATGGCCCTGTCAACTTTTTATTCCTCATGATAAAATGTGTTTGTGAAATGAAATCTCAACAGTGAAAACTTGTAGAACTGCTCATAAAATTTTGCTGTTTGCAGGGGGCAACTGCCACTGAAGAGGTACATTTTAGATCACCTTCGCACAGCTATTATACAACTTCTTTTCGTACAACTATTATTTTGGTTGCTTTCTTGACAATGCTGCTGCTGCTGCAAGAACAGCACATCTTGCATGAAAAAGGCAGGGATTTGTTCTGTGGGAGCAGGCAAAGATGGATGTGAGCAGAAGGGAAAAGAGAGAAAGCTGTGTAACTGCAGGGGGATCAGAAGGTGCCACGTGCAAGGGGAAGGACATCTTTTGCTCTTGCCAAGTGTATCTGTATCACTACTGTCAAAGAACCCTTGCAGCCACAGACAAACTAAGGACAACACTCCTATGGTGGTAGCTTATTTCATACATCTAAAACGATCCCTATACATTTTTTACATGTGCAGGAAGCCATAAATCCAGTAACCTTTTCTCTATATTTTTGGCTACTCTGCTCTGGCAGACCAGATTTTTTCTTTTTGAGCTACTCAAATGTTCCCACAAATTCCACCCTTTGGAGCAGCACTGTCCATCCTTCTGAGTGAGGAGTTTTCATTCCCAAGGACAGTTCTCAAAGAGAAAGGAGAGCAACTTTCCCAGGCGCATGAAACATTGAATCTTTCTTTTCTCAAAAAGGAGCCACTTTCTGATTCCAAGAAAAACTAGTAAAGACCTAAAGTCTATTGGGAGTTTCCTTGTTAACGTGATACCACGTGATTAAAGCTACTTTAATCACTGTACATGCTTCTATGCACGAACATGAATTTTAATTTCTTACAGATCAACTGCATCTTTGAAAGATACTGTGTTATACTGTACATGTAAAAAAACTACCTACTTTTTTTAACTTACATAGGAAGAATACAGGTTAGTTAAAAGACGCTTTCAATCTCTTGAACAGGTTTCCATTTTTTAATAATAAACATAGTATTCACTTCTTGCTATCCTTTCAAGACGCCTTTCACTTACCTACTTTGCTAATTTTGAGTCTCATCTTGCACTGTAAATGGAAACTTACGTGCAGTCCTTGACAGTAGGTAGTATGCCCAATACTGTTTTGAGGGGGGATGTGTTCCAATTTGTTTGGTTCTGTAGCATCTGAAATGCTGTTGTTTGTCATCTACCTCCAGCATTGCATTGTCATCATCAATGTACACAAGATTGGCCTGCTCCTGGAACGGAGCTGCAAACAAATAGGAGAGGCTGCTGTCAAAGCCAGTGTATCTGTATGCTGGACCAGCAGCGAGTTCAGGACCATTGTATTTTTGTTACAGAAACTGACAATATTTTCTTTTATCCTTACAAAAAAAGAACACATTTTTTAATGAAACTGAAATTTAATTTAAAAAATAATTTAAAAACAAAACAATGCTTAAGGAAAAAAAAAATTAGCTCCATGCAGGTTACTAACACTCCATTAACTGCAAAAGGCTAAATTTTAATGACCGTGTTTATCTACAGAACATGTCCTTCCACTCTTCTGCAGTAGCCCTTACGTGCTGTTTGGATGATTCACATGCACATATTCTAAGAATGACCCATCTAGAACTCTTTCGACAAGAACTTCTCCAACAGTGTTTATGTCCTGAAAGAAGAAAAAAAAGGTTATTTTATTGAATATCAAAATAGTAATTAATGTGTTAATAGATTTCATTTTGACTGCTTGAGTTACCAGTTAACAAAATACTGGTTTCAGTGGGTTTACATCCATGTTTAAAGTTTACTGCCTAACTTTCTACTCCTTAGTGGTAAACATTGCAACATAAAGCAAGAGAAATCATTATGAAACTTGCAATAAATGAGAATGTCAAATGCAGAAACAGAGTAATTCAGTGATTATGCAAAACCCAACAATGATAATGCTCTTTATTAAAGAGTCCAATTTGGTGATGCATGTTATATTACTGTGTATAGAAATAAATACTCAAGTCTTAGCTATACTTTATGAAGTATATATACGTGAGCTATCATTACAGTGCTGTCATACGTAAGCCTGTTTCCGCCATGTGCATGGATTATAGGTTCAAATTATTAAGATGGTTCTTCACCCCTGCCCTCCATTTGGACATCATTTTCTTTGGTGCTTTTGCACCCTTCGAAAAAAATAATTTTTCATATCTTTCTTTGGGATTTTGTCTGGATGAGTATCAAACATAAATATAGGAAAGCACTGACTAATATTCTTGAGAAATTCTAACAGCATGTTAATGCTTGTGCTGCATTTCCTATTTTGCAGCCCACTCAGACAGCAAACAGCTGCAGCACCTGTCAGAAGTACAACCGTGTCACCTCAGGTTCTTATAGAATAAAAATGGGTTGTTGAAACAACTTTCATTTAAAGTACGTAGGTTTTCATTTGAGGATCTCCAAGTCATTTATAAACATGAGTCAGATGCATAATACCTGTTAAGAAATGAGGTAAGGGAGTACCTTTCCCTTGTCCCACCATCAGACAGCAACAGAACTGAGGACAGAATCCGTAAGTTGGCACCTCTGAGTACCAGACTATGCTGTTTCTGTACACATCTGCCACGCTTCCTGACTTTGTGGTGCAGTTATCTGCTCAGTTCTTTTCATGAGTGATTGTAAAAGGTGTGGAAGAAGATACACATAAAGAAATGGAGTCCAGTAGTTTGCAAATACCATTACTCACTATGTAGTCTTCATAATGGGGTGTATGTCTGAGTTGAAGATGGCTTATAAAATTTCTGCTGAAATAGCTTGGATCTCTCCCAGGTGTTAAACAACAAATTGGACAACACTATAAATAAATGGAAGGAAGTATTCAATTTTCATCTCGGCGGTTTTACAGAAGAAATATTATCAGTGTTTAAAAAACCAGAAATGTGAAATAAGTGGATCTGTTATGGCCAAATGGCATTCTTTGAGCAAGACGAATACTGCTAGGCACAGTGCACTTCCAGATCAACTGTCAATTATGCTAATCCCTGCTGTGTAATTCGTGTCTGCAGACATCCCAAGGACTGTCAACCTATATAGATCTGGTGGTTAATATACTCCCTCCTATTAGCTACAAGAGAACAGTCATTCAAAAGCATTTGTTTTATCCAATACAAAATTTGTTTATCATCCAAACAATTCATGTATCCATTTGTTTATCATTCAAATAATAAACTAATAACAAATAATCCATTTCTTTATCATCCAAGCCACTGTTTGGATGATAAAGCGCTACAAGAAACATACAGGATTTCTCTGGTCATCAATAACAAATTAATTCATCTGCGTGCTTACAACAGAAGGGCCTAAAACACTTCATCAAAAGAAAAGCTGAATTACTTCCTGTGGGTTCTCTGTAATATAAAAGTTGCAGTTGCTGCAACATTTATTTCTTCAAGCAATATCATGAGAACACTCTGTGTATGCTAAAAAGATGATTATCATGGAATACACCTTGTGTGAATATGCTACGTGTAGTCTAAAAACAGCTTTATGACATCTTATGGAAACGAACATTATGATACAATACCCTGAAAGTTCCTATGCCTTTCTTAGAACTAAAAGTCCCATGTGTTTATTCTAAGTTTGAAGTGAAAAGGTTGAAACAGCTGTGCCGAATCACTTTTTCAGGTACTCCCGAAATCCTGAAACAGTTACTCCAAAGGTATTTCAGAATTAAAGGGGAGGGTCAGTGTGTCAGTAGCAAACAACAAAGTGCACCTCCCAGCATGTCCCCTCCCTTTGCTTTGTATTAACGGTGTGGTGTCTACAGTTTATAAACCAACTAAAGCAGTTATGAAACCAGTAGGACTTAAAAGATCACATTTTCATTTCCCTGCTTATAATTTTTACATTATTTGTAGGCAAACATAGTTCTAAATATTGTTTTTTACATTAGGTTTCAAAGAAATGTGCAACAGCGGCTGTATAATGCGTATTACTCACAGGTCTCTCAGGATCAGCTTGTATATGCAACTCTGAATTGAGCAAAGGATTTAATAATTTTCTAAGTTTTAAGGCTTAATTCTGCCCTACAGCTACACAATACAGCTATTTATGAATTTGCCCTGAGTGAAAAAATGAGCTTATAGACTGATGGGTGTAATAAAAATTATTGACAGTTATTCCAGTTGACCAAAGTAAATACAGAGTCTAATCTGAAAAATACAAAATTTGGCAAAATGTTACGCATTAAAGCAGTAACTCAGACAAAGGTGAACACAGTATACACTCTGAGTCAACGTTTCCTTTAATTTACTCGGAGCTCTGGCTCCACGATAACTTACTAATATGATCATGGTTAAAGTGGCGAAAACTAACCTGCAGTGTAAAAGGGAATGGAGCGGGTTTCCCCCATCCCACCCGCTGCAGGAAACGGGAGCGTTGGTTGATTTGTCTACAAGTCCTTCGGTCTGTAACCTCTCTAAAACACCTCTTCTGCGAGATGTGAGAATCGGAGTCTAAAATGCCTCGGCAAATAACGATCAGTGAAGTCAATTAGGCTTGTCGAGATCTGAGTCTACACCCTATGCACCTCAGTCGTACGAACAGGGTCACAGTAAGACCTCGCAGCCCCCAAGGACCTCCAGAATGAAGCCATTTATGTGAAGTTACCTTAACTTTAAAAAAAACCAACCACAAACCACTATGACAGACTCCTATATAAGGCCACATAAGCAGTTCTCAAATTAGAACCTCAAAACCCAGATGAGAATACACAGCAAACGCTGCACAGAAACCTGAGTTAGGTCAGTAGGAATAGCACATACGGGATTTAAAAGCAGGCAAGTCACTGAACCTAATACTGCTCATCGTCTTGGCTGTAAGTAACTGTTTGTTGTATCCATCACAAGACTTCCTACACCGTTTTCAGTGCTCCTACCAGCACTCACAATGCTAGGAGTGCTAATATTTTAAACATTATGTGCATACACGCTTGTCTGTGAGAGATGAGGAGAGGGATTGAATATAGGTATGTTTTTCCTCCACTGTCAAAAAAAATTAAACGATATATTTTCTCTTTGTCTATTATCTCCTATCAGTAATGCTTGCTAGAATTAATCAGTTTAACATGTGGATTCAGTAAAATATATAGTTATGTACATTACCACTGCTCTCCTTTCCAATCTGTGGTAAGTGAGACAGTGGTCCATTAGCTCATCCTCATCCACTTCGCACTGGCAATAAGGACAGGAGTATCTGGGAATAAGAGGTAGTATATTGTTAGTGGATGCAGATGTAACTGATACATTTTCAGTACTACAAGCAATAAAAGAAGTATTTAGATTTCTTTGGCCAGGTATCATTAGGAGCTGCTTTTGCCATAGCTAAAATGCAGCATGGGTGTATGACATGTACCTGGGTGTGATGTATGCTATGCGGGCAAAAGGCCAGCCTTGCTAATGGACGCTGCGAGCAGTGCACAGAACTGTGCCAGCGTGTCAGGATATTGATCCAGAAAAGCACTCTTAACGTAACCATGACCGTAGAGAAGAACAGATGAAAATACCAAACACTACAACTATAGACGTTTGATAAAAGCATCATTTAATCGCTGTGATACACTTGGAGCATGCGTGACCAAACTGCCAGTTCTCAGGAGCCCTCATTAAGTATCGACACTTTCTTGCGGAGGATTCCTACTTAGTTTTCAGTACAGGGTATGGTCTTGTTGCATGGTGGAGACGCTGTTTTCAGGTTAGTGCCGCTTTCAAATGTGTGTGGATAAATGTTCAAGTTTTTCTGAGCATCAGAAGAATAATAACTGATGAGGAGACAGGTCTTCTGAGCAAGCAACCTGAATAACGTGTCACTTAGGAATTCAAATAGCAAAGAGTATAGGGACTTTAAATTACATAACTAAAAAAGCATTTTAATAATGATATCAAAATTGCTCCTAATCATTAATGGACAAAACTAAAGGCCATTGAACTTCAAGACCTCAGTCATTCTAGAATTGCTACACACCTAATCGATTGCTCTAACAGGTCCTGCCCTGAAAGAGAATGAAAGGGACAAAGAATTTGAACTTTTGCCATACAACACACATATATTCTGTAAATATATATATTCTCTCTATATACTATAAGTATATAAATAAGAAAAGCTGTCAGTCTTCTTAATTCAAAACTATTTCTGAAGAACAAATTATTAGAAGACAGCCAATTACATTTAGATTATTATTAGTCTTATTCATTCTGGAAATAAACAACATTTTCAAGGAGTTTTATTTGAAAGTAAACATAATTCTCCCCCAAGAAAAATAGCATAAACTGCTGACTTGTCAAAATACAACTGTTTCTACAAAACAGGTCACATGGAGCTAAATTCTATCAAAATCATACTAACTGCAAGTAAAATGTATTATTTTGTAGTCATACACCAAAAAAAAATTAGCGTCCATTTTAAGTACTATTTGAGTATTATGATGTAAAAGTATTAGTAGAGGATTCATGTTGAATTCTATGAAACAGAAACAAGTTCCAATTAAAAAAAAAAAAATCAGAGAATTCTTCTACCAGTTTGAGATTACTATGTTGGGATAACAAACTCAAAAGTGCTTTTACGATGTCGTCAACACTGAGGTCTACCTTGTTACAGCATCTCCAAGCTCCTGTACAGGTCCATATTTTTCTATATATTTTTCACAAGTTCTTAAATGAGCTCTCATTTCACTCAGACATACCTAAGCAATGAGAAGAAGCAGCTTGTTATGTTTTATACCACGACACATTCGCGCTGATACATCATTCTGAATATTTTCTAGTTCAAAGCCCGATTACAACATTGTGGCTATACCTAGGGAAGAATACACATCTCCTCCGGCTACTGGCTCAGTTCCTCAAGCATTTTGTTACTGGTTCAGTATTGCTCTAATACATTTCATAATAACAACATTCAGCTTATGAGAGTAAAGTCAATTTGAGTGAAATAATTATTGGTTTGTGGTGATTTTATTTGTCCCCTGCCTTGGCCCTTAGTATTTTGGACTGAAATGTGGCAGGCAAAAGGGAAACGTTTCTAGTTTGGGGAGGGGGACCCTCCCAGTTCACATCTTGCTCTGTTTTTAATGGTGAAAATCTAGACCAACTCTGTTAAAACCAAAAATATTCCAACATGAGGGCCCGATTCTGACCTCAGTGAAGTCATCAGCAAAACTTTTTTATAGATTCGTTAAGGATAAGATTTGGGGTTTATATTGCTGCTGCTACTGGCTGTCCTATTTCCTTTAACTCAGAACCTCTGAATAACAAACCTGGTGAAGCACAATCGTGAGGTATTTTCTGTGACGAGAAAGAATATGAAATTATATGAAGTCGCCATGTTGAGATATTAAAATATTATTTGCACAGAAACAGTGCAGAGACAGTAATATTACTTCTAGGTTATTCTATATTCTTAACCTTTAAACATTGATGACTGGTGAATCTTGGTGAAGAAATTTAATATAACCCTGTCCCAGATGCCTGTGCCATGGCTCTACTACAAATGACCATCCTGGCTGCAGATGCAGCAGAATGAAAATGCTCAGGCCGCAGTCGCTTAATTGCAATTTCCACTCCCCAAGTGGAAACTGCAAATGAAGTTAGGTTTACACTAACACAGCAATCCATGCACTGGAGCATTTGCCAAGGGTAGTCTGCCAAATATCAGAAACACCACACAAAGGTGTCTTGGCGCTGGAATGCATTAAATGCACCCTCCTTTTCAACATATCTTAGCGGTCTCACTGATGGCTTTATGCAAGAAATACAGCCAACACTTTCTGCAGCCACAAGAAAGATTATAAACCACTGCAAATATCCATAATCAGGTCAATTCTTGTGCTCTGCCACTGAAGAGCAAAAAGCGGTACTTAAGCTCTACTAAGTATTGAGAAGCCTAGCTAAGCCATACGTAGCTCAGCACCTCTTAACATACCTGTTACAATTGGGTTCCTTCTGCAAAACCCGATTTTAAAAAAATATTGAAATTAAATTCAGTATTTAGCCACTGTTAATATCAAGGTGTTGCTGTTCATGCATTTCATTGTTAGTTTTAAGCAGATCTTTCCCAAATAGAAAATCCATGGCAAGAAGGTAAAGAAGCAATAGTGTTAACAACAAATAAACTTTTTTGCTGCTTTTCTTCTGTTCTCTGTAACTCCCCACAACCCTGCAAATAGCAGTCTTTCTGAAGTTCACACATTTACGTGCTGTTTTACATTTTATGGTATTTTCACACTTCTGCTGCTGCTAGACAAGAAAGACTTAAGGGTACTGTTTTGCAGTTAGCAAGACAGGAGAAATTATAAAAGCCAGATGTGAATCCATTCAGAGAAAAAATAAGAGGGAGTCAGATCTAAGCTGTACAATCTTCTCCCACAAAACAACACAGGTATAAAAATATGAGGGGAGCGCAGGACTGAAGAGTGTTCATTATACAGAAAGAGGCACAGAGTAAATATTCACAAACATGGGAGAAAATACTTGGGTTTATATGAATTTTCAAGTAAACATGTATTAATTCAATCTTGGTTAATAATTTTTCCTCTTGATATATGCCCTGTCCTCCACCACCAAGTCCTGTTAACCTTTTGCTCTGCACCTTGTTTTGATGAAACATGACTAACACGTTCCAGTTCCAACAGTAGCATTTAAAACTTCGTTTGCATGTGAGTAAGTGATGTTTCAAAGGCTTTATTTAGATTTAAGGAAAAAGGCTCAGTTTAGGTAGCTTTACCAAAGGGGGGCAGGGTGTTTTTAAAAAAAAAAAAAAAACCCACAAAATTTTGTATCTTTGTCCTGTATTTTAACAGATGCAATTGTGGCCAGGATTTTTATAATTAGGCAATTGTAGTACATAAAAAAAAGTGATTTGTCCTTTCTCTAGCCAAAGCCAGCATAGGGAGTCAAGAAGATTCAGTTCCCATAGGTTTAGGCTTGAGCTTAATATTTGCAATGGCACTGGCAGAGTGTTTTAGAGCTCTTTTAGATATGGAACTTGATAAATCACAAAAATTTATTCTTCCATCATCATGCCGGTGGAGTTTCTCTGTTTAGACATGCCCTTAAAAAGGGATCTTAATAGTGTTAATTCTCGTGCATGGATACATCTCGGGAATTATTTAGTAGTTAGTGTTCAAGGCTGCAAACCTGTGTTTCGCATTCTGTGCAATTTTGGTATGTGCTCTCCATCTTCTTGGCAATATCAGTGGCTGGAATTCCTTCAGAAGGAAGATAAGCGCGGCAGTAAGGGCACGTCCACGCATTATTCTTTAAACTTGCAGAAATACAGGAATGACAGAATCTATACATAGAAAGAAACAAAAACAAATGTGATAATCCCCCCCAAAACATGCTTCAAATAAGGCAGGGCATATAAAAAAGAATCAAAATTTTGCACCAAGTGCATCCCCGGTGTAACATGGCAGGATATTTGTTCTTAGGATATATTGTTAAGAAGATTGTGGGTATTGTTCCTACAGCCCTACTTGCGTTAAGGGGAGCACTGAGAACAGACAAACTGAGCATCCTGGTAGCACTGAAATGTATGTGACTGTGAGGACTCATTTCAGAGCAGAAGCGAGGAACCCATCCCCTGTGGGCTGGGCAAAGCCTGCAGTCCATGATTTCAAAACCTGCCATCACAGCAAAGATTATTTCATTTTGTTGTTATTTCATGTGTTGCTGCTGGACAACGTCACAAATATACATACTGATAGCTTACTGTAACTCTTCCTGAGCCCATAAGCAGAATACTACTCCATGCCGCTCCTATGATGGACAACAACCCAGGTTGTTAAGATGAGGGAATTTCTCCAATACGTGATGAAGTCCGGAGTTGGAGAATTACACTCGGAGGTTTTAGGCAGCAGTTGCAGGGAAAGTGTTAGGTTGCTGTGTGGTAAGTGGTTCGCTGATCTAGCCATCACAGGGTTTGGACTGGATAAAGGCATACCTACCTCCGGGAGTGTCCAAGTCACTTCACTTCTCTGGTTTTAGTAATAAAAGCAGATTGGATTAGTGGTCACTGCAGCTGCTTTTGAAAGCTTTTTGTCAGTTACGGATATGACAGATAAGCTTTGGTGAATCTTCCTGAAGAGATTTAAGACATTACTGCCCTTCACTATCTGAGCACCATTGCAAAGCCCCAGTACTAATGGGACAGGAGAAGGCCTTTCTTTGCATTAGATTACAGCTTCCCATCACGTCGAGATAGGGATCTGAAGGGTCTCAGGTAGAGTGACAGCCTGGGGCTGCAAGGAAGGACAAAAGAAAGGATGCACACTGACTGCCGGCCCCTCTGGCTTTGGAGGAGCTAGAAGGAGCTGTTGTGCTAGACTGCAACCCACAGTGAGCACATTGCTCAGCCTGGGTGAGTGTGCAGACAGCAGACACGCAAGGGTGAGGAGGTGGCAAAAGTCCTTGCACCTCTACGATAAATTTGCACTTGTGCCCCTCTGCTAAGTACCACAGCCCTGCAGCAGAAGCAAACTTGTGTCTGCAACCCCAGCTGCATGAATGCAAAATTTCACCCAAATAAACTGCTGACTTCGCACTGAAACAGGTAAGGAGCAGGAACATCTTCCTTTTTGCCAATTCTGCTTGGAGATTTAAATGTAGTAGCTTCCAAAAGAGAGGCACCTGAAACCATAAATCACTATGGTCGTGATCAGCAGATCACTCAAACCAGCTAGTACTGGTGGTCATGCTGTGCCAATTTAGGATGTTGCCACCCGCACCCTCCTGTGCTGCCCCTCTGTTGAATCATAGAATCATTTATGTTGGAAAAGACCTTTAAGATCATCGTGTCCAACCCTAAACCAAAGGTTACCCACCTTTCCTTCTGTCTCCTCTCCCAACCCTCCAGCCCAGCAGAAGGTATCATGTGCTTATCTCTCAGATACTTCTACTCGGTTTGGCATTTGAGTGCAAATCCACCCGCTTTCCCAGTTGCTAAAACGCTAACCTTTGCACCAGAGCTGCTAAGTCACGAGTCCACATTGCCCCCACCAGCTCTGCTACGTAGATAGCAGCTCCAGCAGAGGAGTGGAGTTGGAAGCTGAGGGAAAACCTTCTTCAGCCACTGTAAAACAACTTGCCAAGCTTGCCAGTGCACTCCGCAACAGCATTTCTAACATACTTAACAGCCTGTGATCGATCTATAGGAGGATTTCAGATGTAATCTCTTCTGTGGAAGCTTTCTTCATATATAGCTCCACGGAGCCATGTAAAATACAATCAAAGCCTAAGTCAGACAGAAGGTGGTATTTTGCAGTTACTTTACAGAAGTATAAATGATTACACAAAGTGCAAAGAGAGTACAGCCAAGACCCAACACGCTCCCTGTCCAAGGATAAACTCTGAATTGTTACACACGGTTTGCCCTCGGGCAGGTTTTAACTTAGATTATTCCTGTACTTTAGACAGGGTTGAAAAGGTTTCTTTGTTTCCCTGAGGAACAGATGAGTCTTCTATAAATAACCCTGTATAAGGTTCACACATGCTGTCTGAGAGCTTTCCCCTTTTAATGTCACAAAATATAAAATCAGATTACCCTTTGCCAGTTTGTTCACCCTCCCCCTAAAACTATCAGTAGCAGGAAAAAAGTTGATATAAAGGATACAAGGATTGGTGAAGAACAACTACACTGATGCATTATACACAAATAGTCTTTTGCTATTAGTCAGTGATTTGTTCAGTTGACTATGAAAACCGTTTGCAAGAATTTCACGTTCAGCAACAAGAACCCCTCCACCCTTAACCCAATTTATCACTCTGCTTTATTTGCTCAGTCCGTACCTAAACAGGTAAAACAAATAAACAAACAAAACTTAAAACAGTGCAGGCAGATGAAATAAAACCTAAGCATCTCAGGATATTGACCCTGAACATTGCTAAAGCCCTACTTTTTTTCCCCTTCCATTTAGCCTCCAAACAATCACCTCAAGTCTCTAGTTAGAGGCTGCACAACGCTTCTCAAATCCAACAAAAGCTAATACATTAGTCCTTGAAGATCCTGAGGGTGCTGTAAACAGTTGCATTTTTAGAGATACATACATGTGTATGTCTCAGCTCAGGAGCACATCATTTTCCGTGATCTGTGACCTGGTATAAATAATAAAAACAAGCCTCGCCAGGTGAATAGCAGAAAAGGTGCAGCTACCTGCCTGGATTTCTGTTGAGAAGGAACTCTGCCAAGTTGCCTATAGTTTCTCAGGCCAACAAGTTGTCCTGGAAACTAAGAATGGGCTCAGGAACATGCTAGGAAGCCTTTTATCTTTTTTTTTTTTAAATTATTGTTTTATTTTTCCAAAATTATTCCTAAACACTGGCTTACACCATACTTCTGACTGCCGTCATCACTAGAAGGATGCCTGTGCCAGGTGCCACGTTTGTACAGGGTGTCACTAGCAGATGGTTCACGTTTGTTCTTGCATTTTACACCTGCATACATTGCTCTGTGCTGATTCTATCTGGGATCTTTATGCTATGCTTTCATCTGGACAAGACTGAGATTAGGGGTGATACTCCAATTATGGCTCACATTAAATTTGTGGTGAAGGCAACCATGAGAAATACTCACTTGGAATTTGAACCAGAAGAACACACTCACTCTAGAACAGCTGGTTTTACTCAGGGATTTTTTCAGCGGTCCGGAATAATTGGCCTTATCCTAAAGCAGCCATCCCAAAATCGATTTTCTGGCATATCCTAACCTTAAGCAAAGTTAGCTGGGATATTTCTAGGTATTTAACAGGAAAAAAAAAATAAAGCACGGGCGTCCCAACCTCTCTCTGCAGTCAGCAGAGAAACAGACACAAGGTAATTCAGTCTTGAACGGGCTGACTCCGGAGCTGCTTACCTGCGCCCACCGCCTGCGGAGGCACGCGTACAGCGCTCTGCTTTACCCTTACCTATACGTAAATTACCGATGGAACCCGATTACTCCCCTTTCAGCCCGTTCAGAGCGGACTGTCCCCCTCTCCCTCGGCTTTTCCCTCTGGCCTCTCCCCGGCCGGGCGAACCCCGGGTGTCCGCACCCCGAACCTCTCTCATTGCCAGACCCCCCCGCCCCG